GGAGAGGCGGTATGATGCCAGACAAAAGGGACTGCTGATCACATCTGGCTTTGGGCAAAACCAGGAGCTGCGCCGCAGCCCGGGCTGGGGAGAGGGGGCTGACCGTGGCCCCCCGCGGGTACTGCAGAACGAGCCTGGAGCGGCACAGGGGCAAAGAGTTTCAGCTGAAGGGAGATGTTGGCACCACAGCTAATGGGAATTATCTGTCCCTGATTTAATTGAAGCTGGAAAGGTGGAGAGGGGTGTCTGTGTGGAGTGGTGACTCTCAGCAGGAGGGTGAGGTGGGATGAGCTGATGCCAAGGAAAGAGAATTTCAGGTTATTGTGGCAGGGTGCAGGTTTGGCGATGACCGTCCTGCCCTTTCTGCGCGGGCTGGGGACATCGTGTCCAGCAAGTGACGCTCTCAGCGGGGCCAGGGCCACTGCAGAGGTCCAGCACTTCCAGACACCTTTCTGGCAGGGATTTTCTTGAGATGGTGGGGCTGGCACTTGCAGGGTGGGTGCCCCAGCACCGTGTGACAGATGGTGACAGATGGTGACCGGACGGTGGGCAGAGGTTGGCTGTGCCTCTGCCTTGCTCATGGCCCTCTCCCTCTCCCTCTGCAGCTGTGGGCTTCATCAGCGAGGACGAGGACCTGGAGATCACGGCATCACACGGGAGCAGTCGGGCGAGTACGAGTGCAGCGCTTCCAACGACGTGGCAGCGCCCGTCGTCCAGCGAGTCAAAGTCACCGTCAACTGTGAGTAGCCCAGGGGCTGGCATGGATCAAGGGGGGAGTGGGTCACCGTGCCACCCCACGAGAGATTTTGGTGGTGGGAAGCAGGGTGAACCCAGCCTTGGGATCCCGGAGCCGAGACAGGTGGTGGCAATTTCCTGAGCAGGTGGTGGTTTTGCCCTGTTTTCCCCCTTTTCTTCGAGCTCAGGTTTTTTCCACCACCTCCTCCTCAGCTGTCTCCATCAACCTGGGTTTTTCCGCCCATGGCGAGATGCTGTGCTGATAACCTCCGGGGAGAGAAGTGAGCAAGCAGTAAATAGGAATTTTTTTTTTCTGTTAGAAAAATTGCAAGAGGGAAAGAAAGAGAGCGAGGAAGAAAGCAGCACCTTTTGTGCTCAGTGATGGGGGGTGAAGACCCTCCTAAACTCCTCTCTGGCCATCTCCGGGTCACATGTGGTTCCCAAGGGCTGGGGGGTTCTGCTCCTTGGAGGAGCCCACACTAGGCTGCAGTTGTAGGGTCCCCCATCAGCCTGAACCCTCGGGGGACAGCACCAGAGTGGCAGGAGCTGGGCACGGGCTGAGATGATTTTGCCTCCTTCCTACGTGCAGGGAAAGAAAGGGGAGCTTGAGGAGCAAGGGGAGGGGGTGGAAAAAAAGCCCAGGGCTGAACCCAGACTCTGCTCTTCCCTGCAGACCCACCGTACATCTCGGATGCCAAGAGCACCGGGGTGCCGGTGGGGCAGAAGGGCATCCTGCTGTGCGAAGCCTCCGCCGTCCCCTCCGCCGACTTCCAGTGGTACAAAGACGACAAGCGGTAAGAGCCCGGAGAGGGGAAGGCACGCACCGGCCCCCTGCGAGCTGCACCCAGTGCAGGCAGCTTCGGCCAAGGGGCGTTTGGGGGTGGATTTCTGCAGGAACCTCTGGCCTTCGGTTTATGGTCCCATGGTAAACCCCAGCTTGGGCGAAGCGTAACGGCTGAGAGCGGTATTGGCAGTGCAAATCCAGTATCGCCGGGTTTTGGATGAAAATGAAACCCCTGTCATCTTTTTAAGCCCTTTGGCCACATCCTCCCCTTGCTCTTGGAAAAGCAGAAGAGACAGGGTTTGCTGTGCTGCCCAGCTTGGGGTGAAAGTCACTCGTTTAGGTCAACTGGCAGCTCCTGTGTTGTGCTGAAGCAGCGGCACCGGCTGGGGAGTGAGGGGGGAGGAGCAGCCAGGGGTAGGGTCGTGGAGCACAGGTCTCTCTTAGATCCCAAACAAAGCTTTTTTAACCCATTTTTGCATGGCATCACCCTGGGAAACACAGAAGGGCCATGGTGCATCCCAACACAGAACGAGGCACACAGGTCACTAATAAGGAGGCATGTTTTAGCCAAAAAAAGGTGCTGCAGAAGCTAGAGGGGGGGCTGGGACTGCCTGCCTAGGCTGTTTTGGGAGGAAAGGAGCGGGAGGGGTGTACAAAGCGGCGGATGTTTGCGTGGCAGATGAAAGGCTTCGCTCAGAAGTAGGTCAGATCACGAGGGCCCGCCACGCGGCGGCGAGAGCGGGCTCAGCCCACCCGGATCGGCAGTCGGAGCCTGTCGGGGTTGATAATGGGGATCTGGCACCTCCCGGGAGGAATTAACAAGTCAAAGAGCCGGAGGAGTGGGGCAGGAGGGGGACACCAGTTCGGGAAGGCAAAGCATTGGGTGTTTGTGCAAGCTGAGAAGTGGCTCCCCGCCACGGTGCCAGCATTTGGGGCCACCCAAAGGGGTCTGCTGCAGGGTCAGGGGTCTCACATCAGGGGCAGGCAGGGGTCTGGCAGGGGGGAGGGAAGAGGAAGGTGGGAGAAGGCATCACACAGAGCAGGGAGAACTGAGGAGGGAAGGAGCGTTTCCCAAGTCCCCTTCCTGGGTGTGCATCCCTCCCTCTGCGCAGCATTTGGCAAGCCCCAAAGCCATCCCCTTGAGCAGCGACTCTGGGAGGGGGCCTCCTGACAGCCTGGGGCTGGGGCTGGCAGCTAAGGGGTGAGACCCAGCAGAGCAGCATCCGTCTCCTCCATCTCTCCCAGTACCTTCCCTTCTCCCTCTTCATGCCTGATCTTTCCCCCAGGCTCAGTGTCCCAGCTCTCAGGCAGGACCAGGGGATAGCAGGTCATGGAAAACAGCGGGGGCTTCTCCTCCCGATGCCATCCCCGTGACCCTCTCCCGTTTTCTCCCAGGCTGGCTGAAGGACAGAAAGGACTGAAAGTGGAGAACAAAGCCTTCTTCTCCAGACTGACTTTCTTCAACGTCTCTGAGCAGGACTATGGCAACTACACCTGCGTAGCCTCCAACCAGCTAGGAAACACCAACGCCAGCATGATCCTCTACGGTGAGTAGCACTGAGGGAGCCGGCTGGGGAGGGGGCACGGCTTAACGGTGAGAAGGCCGACGCGCAACCCATGGGAAGGTTCCCTCTTGTCTTTTGGGGGGCGCTTGCTCTCGAGCCTTTCTGCCCTTGCACCTGGGTTGGAGGTCTTGGCGAGCCCAGGGAAAAGCGTAAAAACCTCCAAACCTAACTCTCGATGTCTGCCGCCGCTCTGCGGTGTTTGGCACTGTGTTGGGGGTCCGCCGCCGATACAAAGCTAGGGCTTGACCGCGGCTTTCCGTCTTCGCCCTCCGGCGAAGGCTCTGTTGGAAAGCATCCTCCTGTGTTGATCGGTGGGAGGAGGAACGGTGCTCGGGGTCGTTCCAGCAAACCTGCGGGACCAGGCTGTGGCGCAGTGCAGCCTGAGCACAAACAGCTCCCACCTTCCAGGCCGCGTTTTCCACTCCCACCAAGCAGATATATTCTTACCGACAGTGCCAGAGCGGGGCAGGGGGTGGGAGTAGCTTTGTACCCTCATCTAGGGGCTGTTTTCCCTGCGTGCTGGAGCTGTGGCGAGAGGGATGCATCCACCTGACATGACATGGCTGGGAAGGGGTGTAATTCCTCGCCACATCTGTCAAGCAGGAGACGGGGCTGGAGCACAGCAGGGTCTGGTGTGCCCAAACGTTGGGGCTCAGCTGGCTGGGAGGCATGTGGTGGTTGCAAGGAGTGAAAGGAAAACCCAGTGGGGCAAGGTAGGAGGAAGGGTGTCCCTGGGAATCCTGCGTCTTTCCCGCTGTCCTCCTGTGTTCCCTTGGCAGAAGGGACTGCTCGTCTGTGTCTCTCTTCCGTCATCACGTACGTGTGTGGGGAGCTTTTCCGGTTCAGTGCGAGCGGGTGCGGTGCCCGGCTTGGCAGGGGCTCACCCTTTGGTGATGGCCATGCAGTGTTGTCACTCCCCCCACAATGCAGCACACCCGTTTTTTCCTCCCTGATAGTTCTCTCTGGAAGGGAGACGGTGTGTTGGCAACCAGCTGCCGTCATCCTGGACGTCTCCATCCTCCTGGCCATCTCCCATGCCGGTCTCTTTGCAGAGTCGTAAATAATCCACCATCAGCTCATTTTTCTCTTCCATTGTTTCCTCTCTGAGCTCACCAGCTCAAGCAGCCGAGCGACTTGCGCTGCACCACTCGTCTCTTCCTCTCGTTATTCCTGGCGGGGAGCGGAGCGGGAGATGAGCCCCAGGACCCTCGGAGGGGTGTCTGAGGGCTGGGAGGCTGGGTGCTTAGCAGTGCCAAGCATGCCATTGCAGCACGGTGGACACGGTGCGTTGAGACCCTGGGAAGGGGCTGGATGTGGCTGAGACGCCCATCCCCAGTGCCCACAGCCCCGATGTAGAGCTAACCGTGGCTGTTAATGAGCCTCACGACCGTTTGCTCACCCAAAAAAAGTCTGTGCTCTAAGTGATGAACATCAGCATCTTCACCCTCCCGTTAAGCCATCGTTAGCGTTGCCTAGGAACTATCTCTGCTCCCTTCCCCACCAGCTTTCCTGGTAGTCGGTGTCCCCAGTCACCCCATTTTTTAGGGATACCAACACCTCTGGCACTGCAAACCCACCCAGGACCGGCTCCATCCATGCAGCTGCCTTAGGGTGCCCGTGCCGAGCGCCAGCACAGCCTGAGCTGCACGTAGGCCCTTGGCTGTGGTGTTGTAGGGTCCCTATGAGGTTACAATCCCAATTAGCCCAGCTCCTCAGTTGGGCATCTGTGGGTGCAGGCTGGGTGAAGAGAAGAGCCCCCAAAACTAAAAAGGACTTCTCTCTGCTGATGGCTCTGAGAGAGCTGTTACTTGGTTTCTGACCCACGAGCGATGTTCCATATGACCCGTGCCGTGATGCAAAAGCCCAGCCTTACTTTATGATCCCCCTTAGCTTCGTCCGTCCCATCAGGGAATGGAATCCGGGTCCTTTGACCACCCACAATTTCCATAATGCCACAGCGATTCAATGATCCTTTCAGTCTCGAGTCCCCTCGGGACACCTTCACCTGCTGCGGACCCAAGGGGACCCCCATCTCCTGCTTCAGGGTTCCACGACACCGCCCCCCCAACACACAACCCCCCCCCACCCCGGTAATTAACAGCGATGCGGTTGG